CCCATACAAGATCGTATCAAGTTTGATAGCTCATCACTTTCACAGTACGAAATCTTACAATTTTACGCACTGTTAAAGAAATATCAAACTTGTTTTCTACAGCGTTCTTCATTTTAAGAGCGGACTTTTCCAAATTCCCCTAGAACCTAAACATAAAGAACGTACTGCATTTACATCGTTTCTTGGACTATTCCAATTTACCGTAATGGCACAAGGCCTAAAAGGTGCACCTGGTACATTCCAACGAGTAGCCAATTCCTTAATACGCGAATCATATGCTTGCTGTTTCGCCTACATAGATGACATAATCATTGCAAGCCAGACCGTAAAAAAAAACACCTTCCAGATTTAGAAGAAGTTTGCATACTGGTCCGTAATTTTGGAATGAAACTTACACCCAAAAAAAATGTTCAAATGCAAAAGTTCAGTATCTTGGAGTTTTGATAAGTAAGAAAAGCACTAGATTAAACCCAAACAAAGTCGCTAGTAAACATAAACATATCGCAGCCAAGCGACGCTAAAGCCGTAAAATCATTTCTTGGAGCAGCCTCATATTTTCGACGATTCATCCCACGATTTTCCTTTATTGCTACTCCCTCAACGAACTCTTGCAAAAAGATGTTTCATTCAAATGGACTGAGGAACATCAGCAAGCGTTCGAAACCCTCAAACGTGCTCTGGTAAAGGCACCAATCCTCGTCCCACCGACGTTAGGACAACCATACATCATTCATACCGATGCTTCTACAATTGGCGTAGGGGCATGCTTACTGCAGAAGGATTTGGAAAATAGCCTAGAGCACCCAATCGCTTACTGTAGTCGTCCCCTCACAAAACATGAGAAAAACTACGCCATTATAGAGCTGGAAGCTTTAGCAATCGTATTCGCGTTAAAACATTTTTATCCGTACGTTGCAAACGCTTCTATAACTTTGGTAACAGATCATGCTCCTCTCAAATCATTGATGCACCGATCTGATCTGGTCGGTAGGCTAGCTAAATACCAAATTAGCATTCAGGCTTACGACCTTAAAATTGAGTATCGTGCAGGGAAACACAACCAATTGTGTGATTTTCTCAGCAGATACCCCACCGTTTGCACAAATGCGATACAGGTCAACTCTCTGCCAACTTTAGATGCAATTCGACGTTCACAAACTCAATCAAAATGGAACGTTGTGATAAAGTTTTTGCGCGGAGAACAAGAGTTCGACGAAACTCTTTTACAGGAATTTTCTGACACCCTAGACAATTACGCACTTTATGATAATTGTTTCTATTTTAAGTCAAAGAAAGGCCCTCTCTAGTAATCCTTGATAGTGAAATGCAAATAAAAATCATACAAATATTTCACAACAAACCCCTTAGGCTCTCATTTAGGTATTAGGAAAACGCGCAAGGCTATTGAAGCTAAATACTTCTTTCCCCAAATGCTTTCAAACGAAATTTGTAAACTCATGTCCTGTTTGCCAGAAAATTAAGACCCCATTTGGTCATATTATTAGTGAGGAATTAGGAGAATTTCCGATACCTCAACGACCATTTGAGCGTCTACACACCGACATTGTGGGTCCACTTCCCCAATGTATTGACGGAAGTAGATTTATTTCCATAACTGTATGCGCATTTAGCAAACTAATCATATGCACTCCACTTCCCAATCAGTTGACTGATACAGTTGTAAAAGCTCTCGTTAATAATGTTATTTCTAAACATGGCATACCTTATGAGATTGTTTCCGATCGTGAATCTAATGATATGAATGAAAGTTCGCTCAAATAAACTACGTTTTGGGAATCTCAAACTCTTTTACAACCAGCTATAATCATAGAACAAATGGGCAGGTTGAGCGCTTAGTCAAAGTTATCACCGATTCCCTTACGGCTTACTGTTCGGAAGCACGCGATATGTGGTCTGATTTTCTTCAGCCTATTGTTTTCGCATATAATACCAGCGTTAATGACACCACAGGTCACAGCCCATATTTCATCGCTTATGGACGACATCCCATAACTTGGTGCGACATTGTGCACCAACTTCCATCCAGAATTTCGTATGCTTCGGATAGCTTTGCTGATCAACTCACAACTGCGCTCCAAACAACTATAACGGAAGTAGGAAAGCAACTTGCAGAAAAAGCCGCAAGGTACAAAGCAGGATACGATTTTCAGCATAAAGTTTTTACGAAGGAAATTTCCACTGGAGATCTTGTGCTATTACACGACGATACTGTCAGGCCAAAATTCTCCGTTCAGTGGAAAGGACCTTACCTCGTAGAAAGCGTAAATCGTCCCAATGTTACCATCAAAAGCTTGACTGGTAAACAAAACAGTCAAACTGTTCATATCAATAGATTAAAAATCTATTGTTCCCGCTTTTCATTTGCTAATGTTTCCCATCAATCAATTCAAAATCTCCAACACCCACGGAAACATTACCAAATGACGAGCATCCTGTTAGTCGCCCTGAAAGTTTACAGCTCCACAGCCAGAATCTGGACAGCGATAGCACAGATTCTGAAGAACTGTAAAACTGTGAAACGCATTTCTCTCACTAACAGAGCAAGTAAGTTTGATTTTTTTCATTTTTGTCTTATGCCGCAACCGCGCTAAAACCAATACATAATTTCTTTGAATTGGCGATTCACAGAAATGAGATTTTTTTTCTATTAAGCAGCCCTAGTAAAAACAAAAAAAAATTTTTTCCATATTATTCTACTACAAATTTCGCCCTTGCACTGATTTAGCGAAATTGTGCTATTTCAGAGCAAGTTCCCCCCCCCCCCTTTGAAAAAAAAAATAAATAAGTAGTACTTCGTCTGTAAATTACAATCCATTATCATAAACTTGACGTTTTTTTTTCACTACACCGAATATTGTACCAATATATTTGTCCCCCTGTGCAAAACTTCAACATTTTCTCGTACCTATGTAACGTTTACGATTTACTTACTAAACATGACTGTTGACTTATATTCTGTACAACAATAATGCCTGTCACCTAAATTTCAACTTCCCCAACTACTGCCACTGCAATGCATGACACCATGGCCGTCACTTCGACAATATCACCGACGACGCCATTCTACACCCTCTCATCGCTCGAGGACGAGCTTCCTCAACCTTCCGGGGTAAAGAGAAGGTCGTAACTGCTTCAACAGTTCACCTAATCTTACCTCGGTATGCTAACAAGATCAACACTTTTTCCGATTGATCTTCAACAAGCTCGAGGACGAGCTTTTCTGTAGGAATGGAGATGTCAGGATATGATTCATCAAGCCGATGTAACATTGCATCAGGATCATGCAATCATTGTTTACTGGATCTTGTTTATCAGTACCTCTCTGTACCTCGGATATTACAGCAACGTTGTAATACGGAGTAGGTATAAAAAGAGTGGAGAGTTACAACATGCATGACTGGCTACTAGCTCCCAGTCCCCCTTCCCCCCTTCCCTTCATCTTTCATGTATATATCTCTTTCTATAATAAACCTTAGATAGTCTGATCTTATGTCAAATACATCGTAACACCGCTACACCCTCAGGCAAGGGTCTAGCTACCCCTTGTACCTGACACGCAAGAGTCTAATAGATTGTTTTGCTCGTTGTCAAGCTTGCTTAAAAAGTTTTGCCAACGAAAAACAAAAAAATTTAGAGGAAAAAGGTGTCGAAAATTGTTTTTCGGTTTTTCGGATTTCTTTTTGTTTTAATGATAAAAATCTTTCATAGTTTCTTGGGTTGTTGGGTAATGATGCATATGAGCCTGCAAAGCAGACTCGAAACTTTCAAAAGCATATCCACTTCAACTCAAATATAGTCAACATTGTCGAGAAAAAACTAGAACAAAAAATAGGACAGAAGTTAATACACAACCCAATATTTGAATGGTCGCAGTAATGCTGCTCCAAGCGTGCGGTGGTGCGCGGCGGACGCAGCATGCCGCCAAAGCATATCATACAGATACAATTTTCGAGTTTTGAAACGATTTTCACCATTATAATTGCTTTCGTGTTTCTTTTCTCTATGCCCATAGAGCACGTCGCAGAATTGCTGTAAAGCCAAAAGGGATTTAGTATGCTAGGTTTGCTAGGGTCACCATGTACCAAGCCCTGGCTATAGGTGAGTCTTTCCACCTGTGGATTTCCTGTTCTGCATCAGATTACGCGTGCCGCAACAGTCTGATTCATAGAGTCCCGCAGCGACTCTGGGTCGCAGTCCTGGGAGCTGCTCCACTCGTTCGAGTTTGGAAAGGACTTTGGACTACGCCTATTCTCACCGTTTTTGCGCTTTTAGCGTGATTTCAGGATTCAGCGTTGCAGTTAAAGGCAATGGATCGGCAGAATGAGGCCCGTGGCAAAACAAGGTCACAGGGTAGGAGCCCCCATAATGGGACCTATGGGCCATAGTTCGATCTTTTTCTGCCACTTCTAACCCCCGAAATTTCAACGCGAAAGCAGCGCTCATCTCCTCTCCTCTCCGATCCCGCCCACCCCATAGACGAGTGACTTCCTCCGTCAGAGCGCGCAGCCGCAATGCTAAAAGCGTGAGGGTCCCGCAACGACTCTGCGTCTTCGCCGTGGCGGAGACGCAGAGTCGTTGCGTTCACTCGTTCGTGGGGTGGGCGGGGTCGGAGAGGAGAGGAGATGAGCGCTGCTTTCGCGTTGAAATTTCGGGGGTTAGGAGTGGCAGAGAAAGATCGAACTTTGGCTCATAGGTTCCATTATTGGGGCTCCTACCCTGTGACCTTGTTTTGCCACGGGTCTCATTCTGCCGATCCACTGCCTCTAACCCCAGGTAGGTGAATTTGAAGAAATCGAGTTTTCCCGACACTACCTTCCAATCCGCTTAAACAATGAACATCTTGCTTAAAATAACAAATGCTCATCTGCTGCCATGTGCAGTGTCTACACCAGCCTCAGTTTTGAGTTCTAGCGTGCATACAATTCATGCAACTCAAAAGTGATTTGTACAAAAAAAAGTCCAATATCCATAGTATCAATTTATCCTAAACTGTATGTAGCTGTACGCTTACTACACATATAACACAAACTAAAAATAATATAGCAAACAAATGAAGAAAGCATGATCACCAGTGGAGCCGTTATCCAAGGGCAAATCATCTCTGAAAGAGGAAAACAACAATAATCAAAAATAAAGTAACCCACAGAGGAAAACCAACCCTTTCTTTCTTCTGACCGTTCTCGCTTTCTTTCTAACACGGTCATGGGTGCTGCTACGACATCAAACACGGAATTCTCTGGCGCTGGATTTATGATGACGGAACGCTTTGGACGTGAAGAACAGTTTGTGACCTGCAGAGGACAATGAAAAGTACCTTCATTTTAGTCCCAATGAACATTAACACATCGGGTATCTACTAAATTCGCGCATTTATACGGGCAACACTTCAAGAGCCAATAATCTGCATTTAGAAGATGTGCTTTCTTCGCTGAGAGTACTGAATAGAGCACGTAGCACACCTTCGAATAGAGGAAGCATAGTTACTTGATTATAGAAGAGATATGATTCTAAATAGTTCGGTGTCAAGAGTTGATTATGAAACTGCCACTATGCTTGTCATAAATTTAGAAAAATGAGAAATTCCCTCGTATAAATGGGACAAAGGCATAGATAGAATTAATCAGTAATCCCAATAATTAATCCCAATAACAATCATTAACATGCTTTGTAAAAACAAATATCTCGTAATTCTAGAACTAATTCGCTACACTGATTATAAAAAAGATGCGTTTCACTAATGAGCACACATATTAGCGATAAATTGCAAAGAGTTCTTTTTTCATGGCAAACGCCAAAAAATATTCTCAGAAAGCATTCATCAGCTCACATACTTCAACAAAGTCTCAGATATTAAGCTTGATGATATTTGAGTCCACCGTCACTACGACTTAAGTAATTTATCAATAGACTAACGAAATAGTTCTCAGGGTGTTCGTTTATAGGGTAGCGGTCTCTTCTACAGTAAGCTAGAGTTGTAGCGATCGTAAAATCAATGAACTCTCTATAAGTGTTAAAGGCAGCGTCCAGGCAAAACCTAGCCCTCTCCAAATAGTACCTATACTGATTGTAGGCCTTAAGAAAAGGGCATCTGCGCCGGTCCTTTAATGTTGTCTTGAAAATGGAGATAATGGACCTGGAACTGCGAAAGTTATCAAGCCCCCCCCAAAACCTATCAAACACCGCCCATTCAGGCAGTGAAAGACTTCTGTGCCTTCAGGATAGGGCTCCCAGAAATCGGACTTTGGGGGGGGGTTCGCACTTGAACTTTATAACAGTAAACAGGGCCACGGACAAGGCCCAGAATAACAAAAACATGGTAAACAGAATTTTTGTGTGGACCTGCCTTTGAAGAAGAAAGTTTCAAATGTCTCTGTGTAGGAAGACTATGATAGTATGGGATAATGATAGCACATTTCACCAACCAAGCGACAATTTCATCACGTGCGATTTGCAGAAATTGCGCATAATTCGTGTGAATTTTGATTTTGAATGTCACCACACAATGAACTTTTCAAAAAACAAACCTCGGTAAATATTCTTCATTACTGGCAAAGATTTGAAATATCAACTTTTCAAGAAGAAATGTTTGACTGCAAGGTATAATAGAAATTGAAAATGAAAGCTAAATCTCTACTTTGGACTATACAGAGCTATTAGGGTGTCTCACGATTTTTTTCACTGTTTCTAATTTCTCCAGCAATAAATACTCTTCTTGTTTCTCAAAAACGTCTTTTAATGGCCATTCTACAGAGCAAAGCAAGCTCTACAAAAAGCTCCAGATAATTCGCTCAAAGCTTTACCTAAAGTTCGAAGCCGAGACCCAAGAAGATCTAAATGCTCAAAAAATCGAGAATAAATCGTAACTCCGTTCAAACATCTCCTACGGACTTCACCCTTGTTCAGGCATGTGGTGTCTACATTTGATATTTATCTGCAAATTTGCTTGTTTTCCCATGGCAAGAGCTCGAAAAACATACATACACTACAATAGAACATAAATACGAAAAAGCCGTCTTTTTCGGGGTTTATTGCGCTAAATTTGATATTTCTCAGAAACTACTCGCTGCAAAAAGTCAAAAGATCATCGTGATACTATCGAAGATGCTTACTTTAGAATTAGCTACGTAGAAGCAGCATAACGAGCTTTGAAAACACGAAAATTATTTTTTCTCCATTTCCTGCCATGGAAAAATCAGAAAATACAAATGCCAGATGTGGATAGTATTGCAAGTACGAAGTCCGCAGAAATTTTCAGATGTAGATAAGTTTTTTTCTTGACTGTTTGGGCATTTACATCTTCTAAAACTCCGGCTTCGAAATCCATGCACAACAAATTTTAGGCAAATGCCTACCTATAGAAGTTTAGGAAGTATTTTACATGTGAAAATTCTCTTAATTTAGTCTAATCCTTTGAAAGAGCACTGGACAAGGAACATACCGGACAAGTGCCATTCGCTATGTCTTGCTTCATCATCAGCCGTATTTGACAAGCAAAGTTGATATCACTTTTTTCAGCAAATTTGAAAACCCGTGATCGAGCAAATGCTCTAAGGGGAGATGGGTAAGTGAGCGGGCTTAGTAGTTCTGAATCCGTGGAGCATCTGGAATTTGGAGTTTGGTTTGAGGCTAGAGAAGAAAAGATTCAAGGACCCACCCTTCAGCGTCCACTACGGTAAACTTCTCTTCTCCACCATCGTCAGCTACGCAGGAATGCACCTAAAAATACAATTTTTGGCAAATCAATAGACTTCGCTGGTCTTACCTGCATGCAATATAGTTTTGCATGTATTGGATCCCCGCAGGTCCAAACATGGACCACGGAATCCCCGATGGTGACAAACGCTGGCGATGAAGAGCCGGATGTTGAGTTACCAGACGTCTCCACCTTGTACTGGCACGATGGAAGTGCTATGGGGTCTGATGGCAGTGGAGCTGGTGTTTGTGAACTGGAAATAGAGAACGAATCTAGTTTTTTTTTTACAAAGAAAACAATAATTTTTGAATGAAAACCTACTTGACTTTCATTTCCGTTTGCACAACGTTGTTTTGCTCTCTGTAATAACATTCAACTCGATAAGCTCGGTCTCTATAGGTGAGCAGAGTGCTATGATGAGCCACAACCATTATTCCAGACATGATCAAGCCGCGTGGATTGATCTATATAATTTGAAGTTTGAATAAACAAGTTGCATCACAGATAAAAAAAATCAACGAAGTTTTACTGAGTTTCCTTGATTCTCGTACACTTTATAGATTTATTTAAACTCCTAAATATTTAACATGCTTCAATCCAAGAAACTTTCCGTAATATACAGGTAGAGAGCGGATGTTAATGCAGTTCTTGGACTTGTTAGTAACTTAGGTAGATTAGAGATGTCGGAGTCAGAGCTGATGGATATGCTGTAGAGGGTAGACTCAATTCCGATGTTCTAAAAAAATTGGAAGCTCCATGGCGCAGTTTACTATCTGCGAAACGATATTTGGTATTTGCAAAAAAATCGTATTCGATGCATCTGTGGAAACATTTGCGCAACACTGCATCTTGTAAGCACAAAAATGCAATTTCGGGTTAGATCTCTCCTTTTATTTCCGCTACAGGGTGGAGCGACACCATCGAAATTGGTCAACGTGTTTACAGTGTTTTTTAGGTAGCTGCAAAATATCTTTCACCAAGTTTACGTTACCCAGTCTCGTAGAAAGAGTGACTGAGAATCTAGGGAACACTGTATGCGCATGGCTTCCGATTATGACCAACTTTAAAACCAGAAAATCACATTGGCTTCCAAAAAAAAAACGATAATATCTGCATTGCTTCATACAAAGATTACCTGCAGCTTGAAATTTTACACATGTTTTTTGTATGAAGCAACTTTATAAAATGCTTTTAATATATAGCAAGCACATAATCTCCTCGATAACAGGAATGCGAATTCTTACTAAAGTTATAGTTCAGTTATCGTTTTGGTAATCCTGGAGAAACTCATAAAAACGGAAGAACTAGAAAATTTTGACCCAATAAACCGGCCAACTTTGGATCTGTAAATTCGCTTGGAAGTCTATTTTATTTAATTTTGATGTGAATATTAATTATTTGGTTGATGCAATAAAGGCCGTTTTGCGAATTCTCACTTTGAAGTGCTATGATTTTCTGGAAAATCTGCGCATCTGAATGCGATAAAAAAAATCAGAAGCAGCAAACTTCTGCAATCAACGCACATTCATCTATACTTACATCTCACACGATCAGAGAAATATGGATAGGCAAACAAAAGAAATTTTTTTTCTGAAACTTTGTACTCATAATCCTTTGAGTTTTCTTACTATAACGATAGTAGCCTTTCTCGTAGCCGGAAACCAGTAGTACAAAAGATGGGAAGGGTTTGGACAAAAAAAGCTAGCGGAAAGATAAAACTCATAATTCAAAATTGAGCTTTTTCCAACATTTTTCAACAGACTTCGAAGTCCCGAATTGTAGAAAATCTGGTTTTCTGCTTACTAAACAACCAAATGTTTTTGCTAAGCTGTCAGAATGATGCCCTACTTTTACCCTTACAAAAAAGAGCAAAGCTTTGGCGATTCCCTTTTTTAAAAGAAAGTTATGTGTCACGGAATGACCGCAACGGCTACCCATATTGAGGCGCCCATATCTCAATCTAGATAATTTCTTAGAAATCAAGCGCGTTTAATGTGGAAGATTTCTTTTACATACAATAGCTAAATTTTCGAAGAGTAAATGCAATGACATTCTGATTTTGGACGCCTCCATTCGAAGGCTCTGTAAGTATGTAACAGAAGAGGATGGAAGCCTCAACCATTATTAGATAGAGCCTGAAGAGAGTTTCTCGATGGTATGCTACATCTGTTTCGAGTAAAGAATTTTGATGGCAGAAAGTTGTCCTGAAAAAGTCCTGGAAAAAAACGGCCATTATTTTTGCATTAAACTGGCACTACAAATGGCAAGTAGGATGTGTAATAATCATGAGATTTTTCGTCTGATAAGCAAGATCTCGGTATTCCATATGATTCACTGTTTTCGCAATGCACTTTGTCTTCGCTTTAGATCGGAGAAGTATTGGTAGTTCGAGGATTGCAAAGAAAGTAGAAAGGTATTGTTCCTTATCAGGAAAAAAAATTTATGGAATGATCAGCGACTACGACTTATTTGGCAGTAGAATTTCGCCTTTCTGCCTTGTAACAACATCCCTTATATGATTATACAGCATCAGGAAAACATTCTTTCGTCATATGATGATTTATTCGTTCAAAAGGTGGAACCAAATATGCATTTTTCTTTTTTCTTTTTTCTACTTCATTCATGAACTACAAAGAGTACAAGTTTTGATAATCCCGACTAACCTGTCTTTTCCTTCTCATGGGGCACTCGTCAAATCTGAATTCGGCCTCTGCCGCGTACGAGTTCGCATCTGATTGTACACCTGACATCGGCTTTTTCCGGAAATCACGATGGCATCCTTCGCGTCCATAGAAACCTTTCAGGTAGATATGTCCAGTAAAAGCGTCTGATAGATTAACGTAGGCGTGGACTCCTTCCGGGGAGCATCTGATGGTGGGGACTCCTGGAACGAATATGTTCTCATATTTTTGCAACAAAAGGGTAATTTTTCCGTGGATGTCGCTTGTACCGTAATCATACCATAATTTCCCAAGTTTCAAAAGCTGTACCTGTGTCAGCGAGTGACTTAAGAAAAAAGATGAACAAAATTGGAAAATTCGTTCAGTAAGAAAAGAGATTTTGGAACGTAGACCTCCATGCTTAGAAGCTAGAGGAATTCCTTCCAAGGGAAGTGCCAAAGCTCGTGAACTCACCGATAATATCTTGCATAGAGAACGGTAACAAAGCACTAGCGATTATAATTAGCGTTGTTTTCATGGCGATCAGTAGGGATAGGACTGGCTGAGGTTGTGAGATGAAGATTCGGATAAGCGGTGATCGCTCACCTCGGCCAAGGGTCACAAGGTCATCATCATCTTCAAGACTCATCTCGATATGTCTCTGATGACATACGGAGACACTGATAAATGTTAAATATTAAACAGTGGCCTTCTAAGAAAGTATACATAGGGTAGACTTACTCACGTGGGCATTCCTTGTTTTTCTGATGTAGGTTTGCTAGACCTTAATCGAACGAATAGCCGTAAAAAAACCAGCGAATAGTTTCAAGAAAGCATTCATGAGAATGAGTCTTGACTTTTCCATTCTTCGCCTACAATCCCTGACAAACAGAATTTGATGAGTTTGTGCATAAAAAATGGAAGTAATAAAATCTATGCGTTCTTGGAAAACTGAACTGAAATAAACGAGCCGTAAGTAATTTCATTCCAGCATATTGGTAATTTCGAATCGAATAAGGAACTTATCAAAATACAGTTCCCTCAGATTGAATCAATTTCAAGCATAAAAAGGAGCGCAACATGCTTTAGTCAAATATTTTCACTTTTTCCTCAAGGTAAGGTATTTATCATTTAAAATTCAACGATAGAATCGACGATTTCGATATTATATTATTGCATTCAGTCGTTCTACCACGAAATAGAAAGTTTATTTGTAACCCAATGAGACAACATAGATCTGACAGTTGCAATGGTTAGGGCAGCTAAAAATGCTTTCAAAAAATCAACAATCTAAACTGAGCTTTGTACTGCAGTAAACTACCATATTTTGGAAAACCCATTAGCGGAAGAAACTCTGATAGACCACGAACGAAAAGTTAGCTTGAGGGGTTCTTTCAAAAATACTTACTAACAAGAAATAGCAATGCGCATCTATAAATAATTCCAGTCCATAACTAACTTTGACTAAAAGAATGTTGTAATTGGGACCAGATGAGAACAAATGCTAAATATCTCAGCAACACGATTTCATTTTTTTCAAAGAATAGGAACATGAACAATCAATGTTATATGCGACCGATGATCGCGAAACTCTGTTTATTGTAGGATGTAAATTGAGAAAAGTGATACTCGAGTGAAAAGGATAAAATCGAAGTCTATGTCAGCTTCAGTCAACAATTTTTTGATGCAAAAAATGGCTATTATATCCACGATACGCACATAATCAAAGGTTTTCTCAATTGAAAGAGACTAGCGTTTGTATACTTAAGGAGGGAAACTTTTTTACTGTATAGTGGGCCGGTGATTTTCGGAGCACATTTCGCAACGCTGTAGAAAAAACAAAATAAAAACAAAAAACAAAAGACAAATCTGAACCATTGAATGAGGGAAACAGTAACTCGAACACTTCTTGAGAGTAGATTATTAGAGTTGTAAAAATGTATTTCGCACTACAATATCATTCGTAGTTCGTAAAAAAAATCACCGGAATTCGCAAGAGTTCGCCAAACTTTGCGTCCATAGCTGTAGTGCTTTGGAGTGGACGAATCCTGAAGCTCAGCTCGCCGAGATACATCTTCCAAGTATAGGAGTGCGTGGGCACGGTTGATCGTTAAAGGCAGCGGACAGGCAAAATGGACCCCTGTCAGATTTTGGTAGTTTCGGGTAGTGGACCCCCCAAGTACACCGTAGCCCAAACCCCACATTCCAATTCATGCGCTAAGTCCTGAAAAAAGCGCTTCAAAACTCCACCAGCCCCGCCCACTTGCATTGAGTGGGCGTTATTGGTGGAAGTTTGAAGCGCTTTTTTCAGGACTTAGCGCATCAATTGGAAGTGGGGTTGGGGCTATGGTGTACTTGAGGGGTCCACTACCCGAAACTACCAAAATCTGACAGGGGTCCATTTTGCCTGTCCACTGCCTTTAAATTCTAACCTTTCCAGATTTTTGCTCACGGCAGATCACAGGAGCTTATTCTGTGCACAGCAATTTACTTAGTGAGCAAAATTCTAGAAAGATCCATGAAATTCGACTATATCATCCAAACAAGCAATGAGGAAGCATTTCGTCGACTGAGTTGAATGGTACTATGATTGAGAAATCGTCCACTCTGGAACACGATATGGCGATGCGACGCGAAGTTCGACGAACTCCGCCGGAGTGCGGTGCTTTATTTGCAAATTACGAGCGGGATTGCATGTACGTATAAGAGCAAGTTCTAAAGCGAAAAGTATTACCAGATTCTTATATTTTTCCGCCATTTCAAGATATTACGACTATTTTTTCGCGAAGTATCTAGACCACGAAACGGCGCAGGCGACGTATAGCAAGCTCTACATCGTTCATTAAAAAACATAGGGGTTGTCATTTCGGAGTTGCTAGATTTTGCTTAAAGTTGTTCATAATAACTTAAAAACTAGCTGTATGGAATAATCTTTTCTTAGGCCTAGGGAAACTACGATTCTGTGAAATTGCTACTTCTACGCTACTTGGCGGTTTGCCAGATTTGTACAGATTAAGGTGCTTCATACCGCGCCTGGCAGCTTCCGCTAGCAGGTAGCAGTCTGTAGCAGCCCGAAGCAGCCGCTAGCCGCTTTTGTTCATAGAAGCGTGAGATCATCAAAGTCTTACTTTGAATGCACCAGCCCACGCTTTCCATCCTCCACACTTTTTTCTTTAGTAAGCATAGCGCCGCGGAAACGGCTGGCAGACTGGTAGAAATACACCTATCCGGACTGATATAGCTTTATAGCATTAAAAAAACATATAGCACCGATAATATATGAGCTTAACAGATGAGCATATTGACGTGTAAAATTTAGAGTATCATAAAAGGAAATCAGTGTGTCACTGGTGGGATGGAGACAGCCTAAAGAGGTTGTAAGGAGAAGAGAGATGAACGTCCTCTTGGTGGCTTGGCATTAGAGAATCTCCTGGAAAGCATCGCTTGACCTCGCCGTCACGCCCTAATCACACGAACCAGCGTTTGGCGATGAAGCAGGCGTAGACATAATTACACACTTTCTGTTGCAGCCTATGCAGTTCGATCTCATATATCATACTTGTGTCTATTGTTGTTAAATATTATCTTGTTGCCATAGATTGGCTATCTTATTGGTGCTCAATTTCCCTTCTCGCAGTTGAACCATAGCTTGCCAAAGTTTCTTCGACGTGTGATTTCTTCAACTTTGAATGCGTCCAGATTCTGCAGGTATGCTAGGCGTTCATTTTTTTAAGATTCTGCTTCATCTTTTCCTTGGCTATCGGTGCTATTTTAAATAATTATGTAATGTGTGAGAGGCGATCGGCACATTAGCAGCAATAGGAAGGAAGAAAGTGTGGAACATGGAAAGCGTGGGCAGGTGTACTCAGAGTAGTAAGAATCTGATGATTTTGCGCTTATGAACAAAAGCAACCAGCGGCGGCTATGAGCTGCTGGCGAGTGCTACGGGCTGCTACGGGCTGCTGACGGCTGCTATGGGCTGCTAAGGGCTGTCAGCGGCGGCTGCCGGCGCGGTAGAAAGGCACCCTCAATCGTCTCAAATGCGTAGGTACGCAGTTTCCGTAAGTAGCTCCCCAATGCATGAAGTCTAGCTCGAGCAAAGCGAGCTTGCGATCGATTAGGAAGAGTTGTTGCAGCGCTAGATTACGCAGCGACTGACATCGCGTAAGGTATGCTTAGGCCTTAAGGATAGAGAAATTCACGCCTATCGTTCCTTCACAGTTTTGTTGCTCACGCTACCGAAATTATCTCATCAACTCTATCGTCATAAAAGACACCTGATACACCGGATGATTCACCGCTCCCGCTTTCATTATCCTTCCATTTTTTCTCCCACCTCTTCGTTTCTGTAGACGCCCCACCTGCTCATCACTGCTCAACCGATTACGGCCTCCGTAACAAGCTAGGAAATCTGCAAATTTTATCTAAGTTAGGTGACTCAAGCGGGATAGGGCACTGAGACGCCACTAGACTCCACTTGCGCGGACACCTTACACTAGCTGTGATAAAGAAAGGTGAGCATTTTGTTGCAGATGCCGTCGCGATAGACAGCTCTTTAGGCGACCTGATGTCCTCTACCCAATTCAAGCTATCACTAAGCCGACTGCTCTCAAGTTTGTTCCAAAGGGAGTGATTTGAATGCTACCAACGCTTTTTTGCGCTTCAAAGGCAACTTGGAGGGGGGGGGGGGGCAGCGGAAATCGACTATATGTTCAAGACGCAAGCAACATAAGTTTCTTCGCCTCACTAGGCACAGTGTAATTTATGGCACTCATGTACCAATCCAGACACGCTCCCTGCTTCTGCCCCCGGAAACGGGACGGAGAAGTTAGTGGGGCACGAATTCTGAAAATGTCGTCTATTGTATGACAACAGATTCACATTTGACGATCTTAACTCACTACTGATGACTTCCGCGGAAGGTCGCAGATTTTGTCTAAGTTCCGTCTAGTGGTAGAAAAAAAACGGAAATCAGAATTATACTTAAAGTCAGTATTGGACCGCATTCACAAAATAACCTCACTTTAAATATCGTTTTATAAGTTCGTGACTTTCTCGTAAGCCAAAGAAGTGACAAAATTTGTCAAAATCCAGTTGATAATGTATGTTCCGCTGTTGCGCATAACCTGCCCCACCTGGGCATCAGGTTTTCAACTTCATTTTCCGACCCAGCCCTAGTCCCAAAAAAGTCGTATGATAAACGCTGAGATCGTCTTCAGAATTGGAACAAAAAACAACGGTATTTTAATATTAATAAACGGTATTATTTTATTATTTCATTATTTTATTATTTTATTGATAAACGGTATTTTTAAGGAGTCTTACTGAGACACGAATCAGAGGGAGGGAAGCAGTATCTGGCGATATTGTGCCACATAGATTCAAAAAACATTTCCAACTCTGTAAGGCTCTTCCACAAGCTCTTCAATGCCTTTTCTCGAACTCTATTTTTCCGAGAACAATTATAATACAAACTGAATCAAATGCATTTTGACTGGGAAAATCATTTCCTTCTTACCAGAAAGACTGTTAGCACGATTCAGTCACTCGTGAGGAAATTTTTCTGTTTTCGGGCTAACGTGAGAGATAAACGCAATGTAACATTTCATTATCAATGAAATAACACCAAACACCCCTCATGGCAAAAAC